GGGTCTCATCCCCTGACCCTGGGAAAAAAATAAGTTAATTAAAAAAATTAAGTACCTATAAAAAAATACTGATACAAATTAAAAAGTAAAAGGCCTTGCTCCTAGCATGCTTGCTGGTCCCATTAAGCAGGTGCTGCTGCATGGTAGGGCTCACCGCCTGCCTCCTCACACCCCTCCCGCACCCGCCCGCCTCCTCCCCCCCAGCCTGCTTTGCCTGCCTTTCTCTGAGCCCTTCCCCACCCCCCCAGAGACCCTGGAAACAGTGCTCTGGGGTGAGAGATGCCAGTGCCTGAGGTCAAGTGTGACGGTCTCAGACCTGGTGAGTGGCAGGTGGGGCCGTTCGCAGGTGGGCAGGGGTGGCGGACTAGCCTCTGTCCCTGCCGACGACGGACCCACGTAGCCCTACTAAAGATGCGTGTCTGCAGAGGGTCTCTGTGCCATTTACTGACCCCAAGGGGACAGGAAGGGGCTCCTGTTCTCACTGACACACAACAGGGGGTCTTCACAGCAGGAAGTTGTGCGACTATTCCTGGTTAAATGCCCCCCCCCTGCTGACCCGAGCAGCCAAGCTCTGTCCCTTGGCCCAAGTCTGCTTTGCTAGCACTGATGGGCCTTGCGGTGAAATCTCGCTCCCCCAAAGCCAACCCTCTGCTGATGTCTCTCAGTTGAGTTTGGGGCGAGGGTGGGGGGTGGGGCAGTGCTCAAGGCTTCCCCCTGTCTCTGTGCTCAGGAGACCGTATGGGGTCTACTACTACTTGTTGTATTATGGCTCCTGCCTCCACCTCTCTCTGGGAAGCAAAAGGATGGAGTTTCCGACTCTCCTCGAGGCTCTCCAGGTCACCGGCCCCGTCCCGAGGCCCACGCGGGCCTGGGATTGAGTGGCCTGGACACTGGAGGCTGGAGGAGCCCGGGAGGGAGAGAAGGGCTCTCTCTGCTGTGTGTGCAGGGAAGGGAATCCCGTTAGCACATGGAAGTGGGCAATGGGGCCCTGCCTGGCGCCAGGGGCCTCAGGGAAGGAAGATGCCACGCACAGCCCCCCACAGCCCCAGGCCTCTCACACCCCCATGTGCGGCCATGTGATGGCCAAGTACTCCTGACGGCCTGTGCAGGCTCAGAGAACCCTGGCGTGATGGGGCTCTAAGAGCCTTCTGGGCTGGGGCCAGAAACAGTCACACCCTGAGGCAGCACAGGGCGTGTCCCTGAGACACAGGCATCGCCCACGTATGCTGGAGGGGAGGCAGCTCTGGAACCAGGGAGCCCCTTTGTTTCAGCTCCTTGGAGCAGATGTGTGTCCCCACCTAGGACGCGTTCACCCTGTCCAATGACCCCCTTCTGAGCAGGAGTACTCCTCACAGGTGGGGCCATGGGGCCCCAGAGAGTCTCCCTCTCACAGGCTTTGGGGGGCTGGGTGAGAGAGTCCACAGGGACCCCCTAAGGACTCCTCACAGGACTCCCAAACAAGACTCTCCACAGGGCCCCCACAGGACCCCCACAGGACTCCTCATAGGACCCCCAAACAAGACTCTCCACAGGGACCCTGCGGGATTCCTCACAGGGACCTCGCACAGGACTCCCCAAGGGCCCCCACAGGACACCCACAGGGCCCTCACAGGATTACCCACAGGACCCCCCTCAGGACTCCTCATAGGACCCCCAAACAAGACTCTCCATAGGAACTCACAGGACTTCCCACAGGGACCTTGCAAAGGACTCCCCACAGGGCCCCATAGGGCCCCACAGGATTCCCCATACTTTTCACAGAGTCTCCACAGGACTCTTCACAGGGCCCTGCAACAGGACTCCTCACAGGGACATTGCACGGGACTCCCCATAGGGCCCCCACAGGACTCCCCACAGCTCCCCACCATAGAACTCCTCACAAGACTCCCCACAGGCTCCCCACAGCTAACCTATTACCAGGTTAGCTCCCAGCTCCCTTGTGGGACCTCCCGCCGCCGGAAAGCGGGGTCTTGCTCCAAGGCCGCTGTCTTCATCAGAAACCCTCGCCAACGCAGGAGACAGTGGCCAACCTCTGCACCTAAGAATGAATTTCCTCTATGGCTCCAGTTTCCACAGGCCAACTGGAAATGCTGCATAAAGGAGATCAAACTTCTTTTTCATTTTGGTTTTTGTGCCCCCCCCCCCCACCCCCGCCAGCTGTGCTCAGGATTACACCTGGCTCTGTGCTCAGGGACCATCCTGGTGTGCTTGGGGATCACACGGGGCGGCGTGTACAAGGCAGGTGGCCTGGCCGCTGTCCTAGGTTCCCCTCACTGAGATCAAATGAGATGTGGGGGGTTGCGGTCTCTCCCACCTGGCTGTCATGGGAAGTTCCCGCCTGCCCCAGTGAGCGCAGCCTCAGACACCCTGGGTCTCCTTTAATCAGCTAACGAGGGCTTAGAACTCTGCTCTTTCTGTCCACCTCCCCAGCTAACGGGTCAGCCCCACTCTACCAGCCACTATCACACAGTTCCATCCCTCCCCCCCCCCCCCACCCCGGCACACAGCGTGCCCAATCATCATCCCTCTGGTTGGCGCCTGGACGGGCTCACTCCAGGCTCTGTGCTCAGGGACCTCTCCCGGCTGTGCTTAGGAGACATGTGGGGTATGAAGGATGCAAAGCAGGTGGGTCACGAGCAAGGCAAGTGCCCCCTTCACTGCACTGTCGCTCCAGCCTCATCTGTCCTGTCTGTCTGTCCTCGATGAACACCCCCTCCAATATCTGCAGGCGCTGTCTCCCTCTCGCTGATGTGGTACCTCTCCGTCTACCACTGATCCGTATTCCACCTGTCACTATCTTTCTCCCCACGTCTGTCTCTACCTGTGATGCCTAAAAGAAAGTCACTCTTCACCCGATACCAGAAGAGGAAGTTCTCTGGTGGAGAGTGGCCTGGTCCTAGGTCTGTAGCCGGGTGTCACTCCGTGACAGCCGCACGGGGATCCAAAGAGCATCTGAGAAGCGCCAGGTTTCTGGGGTGAGGGGGACAGTGCTGAGGACAAGGCAAGTGGGCACGGCCTGTCATCGGCTTCTGAGTCAGCCAGTACTGGGGGGAGCGTGAGCAGAGCACAGGGCCAGGCAGGGCCGCTGGGCACCGGGCAGCCTGAGAACGTGGCAATCCACAGAGAGGAGGGCCAGGACGATAGTACAACAGGTAGGGCGTTTCCCTTGCATGCAGCCGACCCGAGTTCAATCCCCGGCATCCCATATGGTCCCCTGAGCACCGCCAGGAGTAATTCCTGAGCGCAGAGCCAGGAGTCACCCCTGAGCATCGCTGGGTGTGACTCAACAAGGAAAAAAAATCCACAGAGAGGAGAAAGCAGCGGCTGACGGAGCCGGGGACCCAGCCGGGGTGCTAGGGGGGGTGGCCCACTCTCAGCTGGGGGTCTCGCTTCTCCTGGACACCTCAACAACTCCCCAAGTAGCCATAACCGCTGGAAGGACTTTGTAGTTGTTGTTTTGGGTCCATGCCCAGCGGTGCTCAGGCTCTGTGCTCAGGGAGCACTCCTGGTGGAGCTCAGGGACTATATGGGGGGGGGGGCTGAAGATCCAACCCAATCGGCCGCAGACAAAGCGGACAAACATCGTCCTGGCTGGCCGACAGCTCCGGCGGGATTTTCTGGACTGAGCAGAGACACTCTCCATGCAGACGACGGGGCTCGTCTGGACAAATGCCCTGAGCGGTGGCAGGTGGCTTCTCACGCCATCCAGGTGGCCTCTTGGGCACTGCCAGTCTCGGGAACACCTGGCACAGGGGGTACCTGCAGTGGGTCAAAGATTAGCTTCTGCAGGGGCGGGGCAAGGTGGGAACTGTCGCCTGGTGCCTGGGGCTTCTCCGGGCCCCATGCTGGGGTCACTCTGGGTATTGCCGGGGGCACCGGCTGCAGAGCTGGACTGGGCTGACTTGGCTGTGCGCCCAACAGCACCTTCGCCCCACACTGGCTCTCTGGGCCCCAAGTCTGAGCAGCTTGGACTGATTCTGTGTTTTACCTGCCCACAAAGACGGGGTCCCCAGGCTGAGTGTCAGGTATGCATGGATTTATTTCAAATGTGTCCAATAAGATTTTCCACTTGGAATGAACAATTTTTTTGAACCTCTTTCCACATATTATTATAAACAATATTTCCTCATCTCCTGGAATTTCTTAGAAAGGACCAAGTCGGGGAGCAGAAGAGAAAATGAAGGCTGGGAGAGGGGTGGGAGGGGAGGACCAGGAAGCAAGTCTGTGTGGCGGCGGGGGGCCGGGATGGAGGGGGGGAGAGAAGAAAACCGTCATGCACATCACCAACGACCGCGCTCTCCACTGCCCGCATCCCCGACGAGCACTGAGGGAAGATGAGTCCGATGGCGTCGAGGAAGGGGATGGTCCTCTGTGTGGGGGGCGGCGGGGAGGGGGGCAATCGCAGGGGGTCCGAAGAGCCTAGCAGAGCGTCCGAGAGACCATCGCATGTCCCGGCCCCTGGTGGCCACAGCAGCCGTGCCTGTCCCGCGGTGGGGAGGGGGTGCGTACCGGGCGCCCCCGCAGAGCCTGCGGCGGTCACAGTTCCACCTGGGGACAGCTGTGCTGGGAAATCTCGGAACCGGCGACATCACCTTTGCATTTTCACCAGCCGACACCGTCTCAAGCACAAACATGGTCTCAAGGCGTCTTCGAGGGCAGTGTCCTGCCGGCGGCGGGGGGAGCAGCGACGGGCAGGCGCAGACAGAGGCTGTGGACACAGCAGGTGGCCAGCTGGGCTGGAGGGAGGCGCAGGGGGCAGGGAGGGGGCGTGGGGTCCTTGTCCCCGCTGCCGGGTGGCAGCCGCTGTCCAGGGAGGGAGAAGGGCCATGGCAGGCGGGCACGGGCGGGTGTGGGTGGGCGCGAGCGGGCGGGTTGGCACACTGCTCCACAGGGGTCAGAGGGGCTCGGAGAGGACCGTGGCGCGTCGTGGAAACCCGCAGGGCAGGGCCTCGGCTCATCTGCTCCTAACTAAGACCGTCTCCTCTCATTCAGGGCTCAGTTCCGGCAGGAGGTCACACGGTGGTGGAGGCGGAGATGCGGGGGCGTGAGTGGGGTGAGTGTGAGTGTGGGGGTGGCGCTCGTGCCCGCGGCCTCAGCCGTCGGACACCGGTGGGGTGACCCAGCCGTACTTTTCGTGAGTCTTCACCAGGCTCTTGAAGGTCGCCTCCGCTTCCTTGCGGCTGAAAGACTTTTTGGACTTGCCGGCTTTCCTGCAGATGCGGCCCTGCGGGGGGGAGAACAAAGCAGGTCAGAGCTGGGCGGACGGTTCCTGCCCGCGCCTCACGGAGGGCACAGATACCAACCCGGCCCACCGACGCCTCCAGCCCCACTGGAGTCACCATGGGTGACAACCCACCACATGAAGGAGCATCGACTCCGACCAGCCACTCCTCCCCACCCATCACAGCCCTTTCGCTGGACTCCCAAGCCTGCGTGGGCGGGCCGGGGTGAGCCCAGGGAGACACGACTATCCGGAGGGGGCAGTGCTGGGCGAAGCTCGGGGCTTTGTCCTGGTGGTGCTTGGGGGACCCTCTGTGGTGTCAGAGGTGGGACGGAGGTCAGCTGTGAGCTGGGTGAGTACCCTGACTGTTCCACCCACGGGAGACACAGACACAGATCATCAAGCATTGTCAGGTGATAATCCCCCTGGATAAAGCAACTCCTCTCTCTCTCTCGCTCACACACACACACACACACACACACACACACACACACACACCCCACCACCATACATATATACCACACACACACACCACACACACATACACCCCACACATACTCCACCACACACACTCCCACCACACGTACACCCACACCACACCCTCTCACCCCCACCACACACAACCACACACCTATATCACAACACACACCCCACATTCCCACACCACACACATATTACGCACCTCCCACCACACTCCCATCACACACACCACACACACACACCACACATGCACACACACACGCACACATACACACACACACACCACACACACATACACACACGACAGGTCCGGAGCAGCGCCCTTGAGAAGCCCTTCTCCAGCAGGCCTGGTAACCCCATTTGTTGGCCCTTCTCTTTCCGCAGCCCGTCCATGTCCGTGAGTGCCTGGACATGTTTCCCGGCCGGGGTGTGAGCCCCGCTCACCTGCGCAGGCCCGCGGCCTCACTGCAGGGGGAGCACATGTGGCTTCTTGAAGTCTAGAACTTGCAGGCAGCTGTGTAGCGGTCTGAGGCTTTTCTTTTGTTTCTGGGTCTGAGTTTTAGAGTGGCGGTTTCAGGAACCTCAGGCTGGAAAGCTCTGAGTCTCACCCCTACTGATGCACTCCTGACACCTCCCATAGCTACCTCCTTGGTTTCTGCCTTCCTCACTGCTCCCCTCTCCCTCTCCACTCACTGTTCTCTCCACCCCCGTCCCCCATGCTCGCCCACTCTCTTCTTCCAGTCTGCCTCTGTCACTGCCTCCCATTCCCACTGTGTCTGGCTCTGGCTCTCTGCCCCAGGTAGCTACTATCTGTGTAGCCCGGGCTCAGTGTGGGGATGTACTTCAGCACCTCCACCCAAGATGCTATCCCAAGAACACAGAAATATGAGCATGAGGGAAGACCGTGCCCCATGCCCATGGCAGCGTCCTCAACAACCATGACAAACACAGCCCGAGTGCTAGAAGCCGGATAAAAGATGAAAGATGTGTTGTGTCTATATACATGGAGCACTCTTCACTACCAGAGAGAGCACTCCCCACTACCTCAGGAACAATCCTCACTACCACAGGAACACTCCTCACTACCTCAGGAACACTCCTCATGATTACAGCAACAATCCTCACTGCCTCAGGAACACTCCTCACTACCACAGGAACACTCCTCACTACCTCAGGAACACTCCTCACTACCACAGGAAAAGTTCATTACTACAAGAATATTTCTCACTACCACTGGGACATTCTTCACTATCTCAGGAACACTCCTCACTACCACACAGAACACTCTTCACTACCACAGGAACACTCACTACCACATGGAACCCTCCAACTACCACAGGGATATGCCTCATTACCACAGGAACATTTCATTATTACAAGAACATTTCTCTGTACCACTGGAACACTCTTCAGTACTACAGGAATTCACTACCACATGGAGCACTCCTCTCTACTATAGGAATACTACCACAGAAATACTCCTCACTACTATAGGAATACTCTGTACTACTACTACTCTGTACTATCACAGGAATACTCTTCACTTCTACCTGGAACACTCATCACCACTACACAGAACACTCCTCTCTACAATGGGAACACTCTTTACTACCACAGGAACACCCCTCTCTACCACAGGAACATTCTTCACTACCACAGGAACACTCCTACCATAGGAACACTCCTCATTACCACAGGAACACTCCTCTCTAACACAGGAAAACTCCTCTATACCATAGAAACACTCCTCTCTACCACAGGAACACTCCTCACTACTACATAGAACACTCCTCACTAGAACAGAAACACTCCTCACTACCACACGAACACTCCTCGCAACCACAGGAACACTCCTCTCTACCACACAGAACACTCCTCACTAGCACAGTAACACTCCTCACTACCAAAGGAATACTCTTTACTACCACCCAAAACACTCGTCACTACCACAGGAACCACTCCTCACTAACACAGGAACAGTCCTCACTACCACAGGAACACTCCTCTCTACCACAGGAACACTCTTCACTGCCACACAGAATGCTCCTAACTGCCACAGGAACACTCCTCACTACCACCCAAAACACTCCCCTCTACCACAGGAACACTCCTCACTACCACAGGAACACTCCTCACTACCACAGGAACACTCCTCACTACCACAGGAACACTCCTCTCTACCACAGGAACACTCTTCACTGCCACACAGAACATTCCTCACTGCCACAGGAACACTCCTCACTACCACCCAAAACACTCCTCTCTACCACAGGAACACTCCTCACTACCACAGGAACACTCCTCACTACCACAGGAAAACTCCTCTCTATCACAGGAACACTCCTCACTATCACACAGAACACTCCTCACTGCCACAGGAACACTCCTCACTACCACACAAAACACTCTTCAGTAGCACAGGAATACTCCTCACTACCACAGAAACATTCATCTACCATGGGAACACTCCTCACTACCGCAGGAACACTCTTCTCTACCACAGGAACACTCCTCACTACCACACAGAACACTCCTCACTGCCACAGGAACACTCCTCACTACCACACAAAACACTCTTCACTAGCACAGGAATACTCCTCACTACCACAGAAACATTCATCTACCATGGAAACACTCCTCTCTACCACGGGAACACTACTCACTACCACAGGAACACTCTTCTCTACCACAGGAACACTCCTCACTACCACAGGAACATTCCTCTCTACCACAGGAACACTTTCTCTACCACGGGAATACTCCTCTCTATCATGGAAACACTCCTCACTGCCACAGGAACACTCCTCACTACCACAGGAACACTCCTCACTAACACAGGAACACTCCTCTCTACTACAGGAACACTCCTCACTACCACAGGAACCCCCCTCTCTACCACAGGAACACTCTTTACTACCACACAAACACTCTCTACTACCACAAGAACACTCCCTTCTACCATAGGAACAGTCCTCACTTACTACAGAAGGACTTTCTGTGTTTGGTGACAAGATGAAGCTGTCATGCTAAGTGAAACAGGTCAGAAGAAAAAAGTGCTCCCACTCATGGAATAGAGAGACATCACCGGGAACCGAGAGAATGAAAACAAGCCCCGGGATCTTGACCACAGATCTGAGGAGACCAGAGGCCTAAGGGAGAGGGAAGTTGCAGGGTCTGTGGGGCCCTGATATGATGAGTAACAGCTGGTGGGTAGGTACCACCCAGCTGGAAAGCTGTAAAACACACACCGCTTTGTGTGCCAGTGTTATGCCCATGAACAAAGTGACATAGCTACAGAGCATGCTCAGAGGGCCCGTGCAAGTGCTGAAGGAAGAGATTTGGTGCCTGTCACACCCGAGACTCCAGGGTCTGTGGCCCCCAAACTATACTGGTATGATTCTGGTGATCCCTGAGTACTGCCGAGAGTGAGCCACAGAAACAAATGAACTAAGTTCATAAACGCAATGTTCTGAGGATGAGGAAGTAACAGGGAAATTACCTCTGTAAGTTTCTCCCCACCAGGAGACAGTGAGGGGATCGCCACAGGGCATCATCATGGGTACAAGACTGAGGACACAGGGCATTGTGCTCACTGTCATGGTCCTGAGAGGGCATGAGACTAGTGGGGGACAGCAGGACTGGAGCCAAGGGAGGCCGGGGCCAAGTTCTTGAGGCAGGAACGATGAGTTCTCCAGGAGTGGATGCTCAGTCCTGAGGAACGTGGCTGTATGTATGCCCGCGTATATGTTTGTGCACATGTGCATACTTGTATACGTGTGCGCATGTGTGCATGTGTGTGTGTGTACTTGTGTGTGTGTGGCAGGGGGGTCAGGCAGGAGAAACCAGAAGCATGAGGTATTCAGGAGGAGCAGGTCCAGCGGGCAGTCTGTGGGCTCCTGAGAAGCTCCCCTGGGAACCCTGGGATGGAGGCTCCATGTGTGCATAGCTTGCACCACTCACCCAGCCCTTGGGTGCAGCCTTGGAGCTGGCAGCTCACAGGTGGGACAGGCTGAGGGGGAGGACAGGGCATCGCACTGACGGTGTCTTCAGAACCCTGTGAGGGCAGCACCAGCTGGCCGGGACTGGGCACAGACAGCAGTGATGTGGGGATGAAGGAGTGGGCGCGACTGAGCCCATGCCCCCCCATCCCCCGCCTGCGTAGGGGCCCAACCCAGCTCTCCTAGAGCACAAAGGGAGCAGGTAAAGCGCAGGAGTAATGTCCAGGGTGCAAAGGCAGGACTGCTCCCCTCGTGGAATCTTCTAGAGTTTTCTGTGGAGACACCTTATGTAACCACAGGTTTGGTTACAATCTCTAAAATATCTCATCAACTGTGACCCAATAAACACTTAATCACTTAATTACTTAACTTCCCATTAGTCGTTGATTTGCTCGAGCGGGCGCCAGTAACGTCTCCATTCGTCCCTGTCGCGTGCCGGTGTAGCCCAATGGCATCTGTTCGCTCTGGGAACATGAAGAGCCTCAAACCGATCGTTCATGATCTTGATGAAGAAGTCTGACCATC